AAGCAAGCAAGCCTCATGTTCGCTTCCAGCTGCCTGGCTGCCGGCCGCCATCTTGGCTGGCAGTTAATTTGCATATCTCCCTAATTAGCCAATGGGAAGGGTAGCGGTCGTACGCTAATTACCATGTTTCTCTTTTATTAGATTAGATAATAAAAGCCTAATATGCCAATTAGACTGGACGGCCGAACAACCTTCCGGATGTCCTTCTGGACGACCTTCCAGATGAAGCTGGGGCTGCGAGGGCTGAGCCCCTTGCGCGACTTTCATGCATCAGGCCTCTAGTATAAGATATGCATGTAATAGTTGTTTCTTCCCATCCCGTATTTTTTTAGAATATATTTTTATTGATTTCAGAGAGGAAGGAAGAGGGAGAGAGAGATAGAAACATCAATGATGAAAGAGAATCATCGATCGGCTGCCTCCTGCATGCCCCCTAATGGGGATGGAGCCCGAAACCTGGGCATGAGGCCTTGACTGGAATCGAACCTGGGACCCTTCAGTCCACAGGCTGACACTCCATCCATGGAGCCAAACCAGCTGGGGCCTCACCCCCTATTTTTTAAAAACACAAATTATAGCTTGCTTTTCATTTTTTCACTTGCTTTTTTCATTGTTAAAAATATTTCATATTAGTACATAAAAGGCTTCATCTTTATTTTTTAATGACTGCGTAATATCCCATTATTATATGGCTTTTTCATAATTTATATATTAGTTCCTTACTAATGGTCGTTTAGGTTTTTTTCCAGTCTTGATATTCCAGGAAATGCTATAATCAATAACCTTCGAGATGCCCTTATACACTTTTAGAACTTTCTACAAGTAAATGTATCTCACATTGTTGTTCTTTCAGGGGTCAAGTCCTTCCTGCTCATACACTTCTGAACACTGTAGATGTTGAACTTATCTATGAGGGAATCAAGTATGTACTTAAGGTATGTTGAAACCCACTGAAGCGTACACTTATTTTTTGTCTCTCTTTGTTAGCTTATTTCCTGTAGGTCCAGAGATAGGGGGGAAAGTTTAGTTTACTGCAAAGCTGAGTGTTATGAAATTAGTCATTATTTGTGTCAAAGGCCAGAAGCAACATTTCTGAAAATGTTTTAGTTGTTCCTCAATTCACATATGGCTCGAAGAGATAAAGAAGACAGAGAACAACCAGGGAAGCATCTAAGGTCACCCTGTTTGCTTGGAGCAGGGCTGAGCCATGCCCACAGACACTGATGCTAAGAGCACCAGTGCTAGGAATGTCCTTCCTCTTTGATAGATTTTTTAAATCTATATTTTTGAGATACTGAGTTTTATCTGGGACTCCACCTGGAAGGGATATTGACTTGTCCTTTCTGGTTCTCGTTCCCTAGGTGACTCGACAGTCCCCTAACTCATATGTGGTGATCATGAACGGCTCATGTGTAGAAGTAGACGTGCATCGGCTGAGTGACGGGGGACTGCTCTTGTCCTATGATGGCAGCAGTTACACCACATACATGAAGGAAGAAGTGGATAGGTGAGTGGCTGTTTGAGATCTATATGTTGGTCATTGTATCAACCTTTCCTCTCAGATAGTCACTAGCTCTTGGGATTTTTCAAGATCTTTCTTTGGTATTCTGTTTTAATAAAAAATATAGTACATGCACTTAACAAAAAATTTTAAGAGTACAAAAATGTGTTTACAATGAAAAACATTGTCTTTACCACTTCAATGTGAGTAGATATGAAAAATAAGTTCTCTTTATAAGGAGCTACTGTTAACAGTTTCTTAAGTATTGAAGTTTTACATGCATCTACAAGTTACATATATGTACTGTTTTTTTCTTTTAAATGCATTCATAAATAAAAATAATCTTTAGATACTGTTTTGCACCTTATTTTTTCCTTAACATATATTGTAGACCAGCAGTTGCCAACCTTTTGGACTTCATGAACCACCAGTGGTCCGCGGACCACCGGTTGGCAACCACTGTTGTAGACTGTTCAACACCAATCAATGTTGTTGTGACAGTTAAATGAATTAACATATGTAAAGTGCTAAGAACTTTGTGTGGGGCATAATAAGGGTTTAAGAAATGTTAGCTGTTACATCTTTATCATCTTTGTGGGTTTTTGTTTTTTTTTTAAATAGAGATGCCTGCTCTTTTTAATGGTTGTATAGTATTCTATTATATAGATGTATCATAGTTGATTTAATCTAACCCTTATTGAAGGAAATTTTGCTTATTTGGCATTATAAACAAAGATGAAATGAGTATCCTGTGTGCATGTGTTTGTACAGAATAAAGTTATTAGTTTGTATTTTTTTTTAAGAATGACATTATTCTACCATTCCCTATGGTAGAATTATTCTTTAGGTGCTTTATTGGCTTACATACCCTACTTATCTCCTAGATATCGCATCACGATTGGCAATAAAACCTGTGTGTTTGAGAAAGAGAATGACCCTTCAGTGATGCGCTCACCTTCTGCTGGGAAGTTAATCCAGTACATTGTGGAGGATGGAGGCCATGTGTTTTCTGGCCAGTGCTATGCTGAGATTGAGGTTGGAGGGGTGACAGGGCTTTTGTTTCATGGGAGGGAAGGTAGGAATGGGGTTGTCTGGGATAGACTAGGATTGAAGAGTAACCGAAAGTAAATAGAAAATAGACAGGAAAGAGCATCAGTTAGTTTAATTGGGGCTAGAAATCTTAAGATTTTAACAATAAATGCAAAGTTCACAGGTTGCGTGTTTTTTTTTTTTGACAGATGAGGAATTGCTAGCTCTAAAAATAGATACTAGGCTGCAATAGCACTTATTGAGTGTTAGGTGTTGTGCTATGTGCTGATTATACAGGAAAAATATGATAGGTAGAGGGGGGCCACTAAACAGACAAGTAATGAAATATGAATCTGATAGAGCCAAGCACAGAGTGCTGAGGGCCACCTAACTCAAGTTACTGTGGGGCTGGGTGGATGTAGGTGGCTAGTAAGGGAAGACTTCTGAGAGAAGGGACTTTGATTTTAGTTTTGAGAGATAGATAATAATGGACCAGGTGAAGAAGGGCAGGGAAGAATGTTGAAAGGGGAAGGAACAGCCATGTACAAAGGCACTGAAGCAAGAGGGTATGGTATATTTAGGGAACTGCAAGTACATATTGGTATTGCTTAAGAATGGACTAAGTTTTAATGGGAATGACAAGCAAAGATGCTAAATAAGTAAACAATTTGAGATCATGGAGGACCTTATAAAACATACTAAGAAGCTTAGACTATCATGGAAGGATTTTACATAGAAAAGTGATAGGGCAAGATTTGGGCTCTTAGTGTCCTTGTTGAAGGTGCATAGCAGGTAGGGAAATCTTTTGGGAGGTTTTTGAAGTACTCTAGGCCAGAAATGATGAGGGTCTAAACCAAATAGCTAGCATGAGAAGAAGATTTCTGAGAGAGGTTTGGACGATGTATTTGGCTGGGCTTCATAATTGTAGATAAGGGAGAAAAAAGAGTAAAGAATGACTCTTAGATTTTAGCTTGGGTATCTCATGTATGCAGAGTGAGCATTTAGATCTGAGAGTATGAGGAGACTAAATTGTTCATCACTTCTAAGTACAAAACAAGTAAAAATAGAAATTATGAAAAAATGGATTTAAACAGTTAAAAATAGGAAATTCCAGTAGCTGTTATTAATCCTTAAAGCTAGGTCCTGAGAGATTTTCTAATGGCCTTTCTTGGTAATCTCTTGGAGATTTTGATAGATTTCCATTTTTCTGGATTGAGTAAGATACAGTCCAACTTAGATGAAGAGGGGAAAAGTGACCTCCTTAAATCATTCATCTGTGTAAAGAGAGATTAAATTCTAATTTTATTTATTTTTCATTATAGGTGATGAAGATGGTAATGACCTTAACAGCTATAGAGTCTGGCTGTATTCATTATGTCAAGCGGCCTGGAGCAGCTCTTGACCCTGGCTGTGTAATAGCCAAAATGCAGTTGGATAACCCCAGCAAGGTCCAGCAGGCAAGTAGGAAGGGACTTTTAATATTGCTTTCTAGTCCGGCTGGTGTGGCTCAGAGGTTGAGCGGCGACCTATGAATCAGGAGGTCAAGGTTCGATTCCTGGTCAGGGCATATGCCTGGGTTGTGGGCTTGATCCCCAGCAGAGGGCGTGCAGAAGGCAGCCGATCAATGTTGATGCATTGAGGTTTCTATCTCTCCCTCTGCCTTCCTCTCTTTAAAATCAATAAAAACATATTTTAAAAATACCGAGGTTTCTATCTCTCCCTCTGCCTTCCTCTCTCTTTAAAATCAATAAAAACATATTTTAAAAATACTGCTTTCTAAGAGCTAATTACATATGACGGGTAATTTGGACGGGCAAATGATTTCTATGCTTGGTTTGCCAGTTTTTCTTAAGCTTTTCCCCCTGATCGTATGCCTTATTTTTGTGTTTATAGTATTATGAATTTAGAGTTTGCAGGAGTTATTATGATAATAAGATTCTATGATTTTTTTTTATGATGCTTCCTCCATTGACTTCTTTCCTTATAGCTGCAAATGGTGAAGGGATGTCTTGATTTTTGAATGATGATTCTAAGTTGCAGTGGTATGTTTGCACCCTGCATAGAAGGTAGGGGATGACTTGATTTCTCATTGGGTTGACAGGCTGAGCTTCACACCGGCAGTCTGCCACAGATCCAGAGCACAGCACTCAGAGGCGAGAAGCTCCATCGAGTGTTCCACTATGTCCTGGACAATCTGGTCAACGTGATGAATGGATACTGCCTTCCAGATCCTTTCTTTAGCAGCAGGGTATGAATCACTTCTCTTTGGGAAGGGATGTACAAATAAGGTAAGGTACCTGTTCTCCAAGATAGTTTAAAAGTTGCAAAAGAATGTTTTTTTAGATGGACCTCTTTCCCCTTTAGTTTAGGGAGTTGAAGTCTTTAAATCCTTGCTTCTTATCCATTTTATTGACTTCACATATAATTGGGCAGTGTTAGAAGCTTTTATTGCAATTTTGAAGTAAGTACTATATGATAGTGAATTCAGATATATATCATTTTATTGTGTTAATTTGTCTGGATCCTATTTTATTATTTCCTTCTTCTTAGGTAAAAGACTGGGTAGAGCGGTTGATGAAGACCCTCAGAGATCCCTCCTTACCTCTCCTAGAATTGCAAGATATCATGACCAGTGTCTCTGGCCGCATCCCCCCCAACGTGGAGAAGTCTATCAAGAAGGAAATGGCTCAGTATGCTAGCAACATCACATCAGTCCTCTGTCAGTTTCCCAGCCAGCAGGTATTTATAGAGCAACAGTATCATTTTCTAATGGCCACCATTTCTTTACTCTCTGGATGTTGTGCTGTTAAAGTTTTAAGCATTATGTCCTTCAAAAAACTGCCACACAATACAAGCCCAGTAATTAAAGTACTGTATGTGACATGTAAAGTATCTGTGGTTATGAGGGACATATACCCAAATCAGAGATATCTTTATGAATTTAAAGTGAGGGATATTCACAGTTTTATTATCAAAGACTTCTTTAACACCTCAGCAGCATGTGTATCCTTAAAGCAAATTTGCATGTAGGGAGTAAAGCTAGGCAAGCGGGTAGTAAAGTTTTGACCTTGACCCTTGATATATCTTGATTGTCATGGTCGAATTTAAAGAGGGATATTCACAGTTTTATTATCAAAGACTTTAACACCTCAGCAGCATGTGTATCCTTAAAGCAAATTTGCATGTAGGGAGTAAAGCTAGGCAAGCGGGTAGTAAAGTTTTGACCTTGACCCTTGATATATCTTGATTGTCATGGTCTCTGTTAGGTTTTGTGATGTACTCATTAACTCATTTGGGAAAGGGTGAAAAGAAATAAAAGTTGTTTGCTTATTTAACATAAGCCCCTAATCTATGCCCAGTAACTTTCAGCTGCTCCCTACATATAAAAGATAGAAATTATCATGTTATAATTAAGATTCTTAGTGGTGATATTATACAGGTTAATGCTTTGGGTCTCTTCATTGGGTTGGGTTTCATTTTTTTCTCTTTCTTACACGTTAGATTGCCAACATCCTGGATAGCCATGCAGCTACACTGAACCGGAAATCTGAACGGGAAGTCTTCTTCATGAACACTCAGAGCATTGTCCAACTGGTACAGAGGTAGTTACATGTAACTCCACATTCCCGGACCTATCCATCCTCATACCTTCCTTTCTTCTAAGTAGTCACAAAAAGATTTACTTCAGGTTTGACTTAGATAAATTAGAAAGCACTTATATCTTAGAAAATATCTTATATCTTCTAAATATCTTAGAATTGTGAGCTAACTGTTATACCCAATATTTGTGATAACTTCTTCCTATTCTACTTCCTTCTGTCAGTTATTAAGGCACAGAAATGTCATTTTATTTTTTCTTGCAATTTTGATAAAACCCCTAATTTTTCTTCTGGCACAAGGTCTAAATGTAACATTTCTTCTTAACTTATAGAACCAACTATTGGACTAAAGGAAGATACTCGTAGATTTTTCAAATATCTCTTAGCCATTTCACGGGTGTGGTAATCATTTCTACTTAGCAGTGGGAACTGAACCCCAAAGTAGGTAGGGATGTCAAGTAGTTATTTTTTTTTTATTCATCATTTCTCTCTCTTTTTTTAATATATATAAAAATCTTGTCTGTAGCCAGATTTCTTTTAGGCTTGAGATTTGAATTAATCCGGTTAGCTGATTTTAGGCTGGCCCCTGTCCTGTCCTATATTCAGAGGGGAAGCATGTTCAGTGGAAACTCTACAAAGTAAATCTGGGCTCCGGGTTTATTATTTAATAGTCTGTTATTAATAGTGTTAGCCCATCAGGTTTTTCAGTGGAGACTTGTTCTATATGCCTAGGTACCGAAGTGGCATCCGAGGCCACATGAAGGCTGTGGTGATGGATCTGCTGCGGCAGTATCTGCGAGTAGAGACACAGTTCCAGAACGGTAAGCCTCTTCCTGAAGACACTGTATCTGAGAAAGTTTCTCTGTAGGACTGTGCAGCAGCCCAGCCAGTTCATCCTGTCGCTAACACTTGTCATTAATAACACTTCCTCCTTTCACCACTCCCTTAAAAATTAAGCCTCTCTAACCCACCACTGCCAAAGAAAGAACAACAAAACACAGCTTGATGAGATTGTGAATCCATGTGCTTCTAGGAAAGGACTGAGATAATTTTTCTAGTAGAGATTAGCATTCCCTGTTGATGTGTTCTTGACCTTGTATAGAATTGGTTGAATCATGACCAGGCTGAAATTGAGAAACCCTATCTGAAGAGCTTGCCTCTCAGCAGCTAATCCATGGATTGAACCACAGGCATCTGAAAAAGGTTCAGATTTTCCACTCCTTTTCCGTGTACCATTTAGGTGGAATTTATCCCTGGCTTTCTCTGAAGAGCTTCACTAAATGATGTATAAAGTCTCTAAATGTGAAACACCCTAGCTAAGATTGTAAAGCTACATACTGCTGATACTGCTTCCTGCCACAAGATGGCAGTGAAATACCATATACTTTGAAATATTACATAACATTTTATTTTTTTGCTCCCTTTGTATTCTTTAAAGCAGGGGTGGGGAATCTTTTTTCTGCCAAAGGCCGTTTGGATATTTATAACATTATTCACTTAATATAATTCACTTAATATAAATTTATGTTGCTATGAAAAAAGCACCTAGATTTATTGAATTTCTAGTTTTGCCTGTGGTTGCCTTGGCGGGCCAGACCAAATGATTTCACGGGCCTTATACAGCCTGCAGGCTGAACATTCCCCACCCCTGCTTTAAAGGATGGCTCAGTCACTCATAACCAGTAAAAATCCTCAAGTAAATATTAACACACTGAATCTAGCAATGTATAAAATAATACTTCACAACCAAGTAGGTTTTATACCACTAATGTAAGCTCGATTAATATTAAAAAATATTAATATTAACTTTAAAAGAGGAAGAAACATGATAATCATCTCCAGATATGGGGGAGAAAGCATTTGACAAAATTTAATATCCATTCATGAAAACTTTTGGCAAATGAAGAATGAAATGGAACTTTATTAGTTATTTAAAGATTCTCCAACAAAAATCTATAGGATACATAATGGTGAAATATTGAAAGCATTATTTTTAAGATTATGAACAATACAAGGACACCTGCTATCATTACTCCTATTCAGCATCATACGGAATGTCCTAGCTAGTGCAGTAAGACAAGAAAAAGGATGAAAGGTATGAGGACCGGAAAGGAGTAAGGAAATAAGTCTGCCACTGTTAGATATGGTATGATATCTACCTGGAAAGCCTCAAGAATCCACATATTATTATAATTATTTGAAGTTTAAAAGGTTGCTACATACAAAAGGTAATATACAAAATTCAAATGTATTTCTTTTTAGTAGAACAGTTGTTTAGAAAAGCAATATACCATTTAAAATAACAACCCAAAATAAATACTAAGGAATAAATCCAAGAAAATAAATGTACAAGCATCTTTTGGAGAAAATCATAACTAGTTAATAATAAAGAAAATCTAAATAAATAATCATAATCTTAGATAGGAATATACACTTGCAAAATAATCTCTCTGAATTCATTTGTAGATTTATTAACATTGTAATACAAATTCTAGTAGGGTATTTGAAATGATAATAGTGTAGGGACAGATTAGTAGACCAATGAAACATAATAGCTCAGAAATAGATCCACACGTATATGTAATACTTTCAACATTAAATATTTAATTTTAAAAAATGGTTTGTTAATACTTAATAGAGTTGAACTTTTGTATACTCTTCAACTAGCAGTTTCACTCTTAGGTAATATACTATAGAGAGTCTAACACGTGTTTATTGGGAGACATATACAGGACTGTTTGTGGCAGCATTGTTCATGATAATAAGAAAGACAGGAAACACTTTAAATATACACAAGTAGAATAAGTAATTGAAATCTAGTACAGTGTATTTCTACAATGGATTACTGTACAGCAGTGAGAATGGATGAACAAAGGTACACATGTGAACAAAAGGACGAATCTCAGAAATGTAATGTTAAGGGAAAGAAACCAGTTACTGAGGGATCCATACACAATGATTGCATTGTTACCAATTTGAAAAGCAGGGAAAATGAAACTATGTGTACATCTGTGATAAATGTAAAGAAAAGTTAAAGAGTGATTAACATGAAATTCAGCTTAATAACTGTTTCAGAGGAGGAGTACATAGGACCCTTCAAAGGTACTAAAAATGTTCTATTTAAGATAGATGTTTATTCCTCTGTGTGTGTATTTCGCAATAAAAAAGTTTTAAAAAAGAGAACACTTGATATCATTGCTTGCTTTCTGCTTAGTGTCTCTGCTGCCTTTTCCCTGGGTAAATATCCTTTTTACTTCTCCTGGTCCTAGTAATTCCTGTTACCAAGATATATTTCTGTTATCATTTCAAAGCTAAGTCTTTGTTGGGAGAAATATGAATGTATATAGGACATCCAATTTTTAAACAGCTTCCATTTTGTTCTAAATGGGTCTTTTATGAAATTGGCAGCTCTTTTAAATATTGTAGTCCACTGTTTTTCAAATATATTTAGTTTCATGTTGAAAAAAATCTTACATCCATCTTTAATATTTAAAATAGATGAAAGCAGAGTTGCCCTGGTTTAGTGTCCTTAGTATTCTGGGAATCAATCCATGGTAATGCATTTTGAATACCACTGTTTTGGTTTGTAACTTAACATGGAATCTGAACTGAGGCGATAATCATTTAATATTTTCATGATTTCGTAAAATTCTCACCCTTGAGATTACTCAAACTCTAATTCTCCTATATTTGGAAATTTAATTCTGAGGTAAGCTGTTTCCCAAAGAAGTGACTATTACTTATATCCCATGGTGGATATCACTACAGTATATCTGAAGCTTATGCTTCTGTTGCAAAACAGCTTTCCTGGCTAGAACTAACCTGTCCCTGGTGGCCTTGTGAAAGGCCAGTGAAAATATACATAATTGCTCTCCCTGCAGACCTTTTGACTCAACGCAAGGTTCTCCTTGATCTATGCCTTCATTTGGATTAGGACTTCCTAGGCATTTGTTAGTAGTTTCATGGACTTAGAAGGGAAAATGTTGACTCCAGAGGTTGCAGCCATCCTTCTTGTGGTTGTTGAGAAGTTTGCATTGTTTTATTTTTAGCTAAAACTGTTCCTTCCAGTTAGGGTGAAACACTTTCAGTGAGTCAGACATGGAACCAGAATATTAACTTGGAGTAGGCTTTAAAGATCATCGGGTTTAATGGTATTGACATTTCTTTTTAAGCAGCAGAACCCTCTCTTGTAAGGAAATCATTCCAGGAAGCTATGAGAGAGTTTCGAGTAAGGGTGGGGAGTTGGAGTTGTCCGCAACCCCTTAGTCTCTTCTGTACACCCTCCTCCACCTCTCAATTCTTTTTAATGAAAATCAGGCTCAGAGAGGTAGAGTGATTTTTCCAGGAGCACAGAGGATATTGGGATCCAAACGAGGCTTTTGAGCTCAGGTCTTATACTGGATTGCCTAACTCCTAGTCCACTGTTCCTTTGACTAAACCAGACTGCCAATTCTGTCCAAACTCCTCCAAGAAAATTCTCAAGATATTTCTTCTCACAGCTTATCAGATGAAGTAGAGACATTAAAAAACAAATAGCATGTAACCGTGAACATTCATACATGGGTGAGAACCAATTCTTTTTGCTGCTTGCAGGTCACTATGACAAATGTGTCTTCGCTCTTCGAGAGGAGAATAAGAGTGACATGAACACTGTACTGAACTATATCTTTTCTCATGCTCAAGTCACCAAGAAGAATCTTCTGGTCACAATGCTTATTGTGAGTACAATTTTTCAGAACCTATAAGGATGGTTAATAATACGAAAAAAAGTATTTCTCCTTCTGGTGGCTGTGGTCAGAGGAAAAGCTCCTGTCTTTTATAATTGTAAGATGAGTGGGGCTCGGGTTGTGGATTAACAATTTCTCACATCTGTCTTTGTCCTTGACCTGAAGGAACCTGCTCCACTCAGGAAAGAATTGTTCTGGCTGTTATGCATATAATCATGTGCAGGGACTCAGATCTCTTGATTCTACTTAGAGATGCCCTGTGCTGCTTCATTCCTGATGTCACTCATGACAGTAGCTTTGAAATTTAGTCTTATCCAGCCAGTGTACTTTTTCATTATAACTCTGGTTTGTTCCATGAATATCAGCAATGGTTCTCATGTCCAAAACGTAAAAGCAAAAAATAACTGTTAGAAATCTAGTGCTGCCCTTTCCCTACCAAAGAAAGATATTTAAATGTATTCTGCATTTTTTTTGGTCCCTTTCTGTTTTATTCACATGGAAATCTAAGCTCAGTGTTGTTTGGGGAGTAGATACATGATTTTGTCCCCATAACCTAGTAATATGAAAGTTAGTAGAAAGTGGGAATGAGCAGTGAGACTAGTCGATGTGGATAGGACTAACATACATTTGACTAGTGGATGGAATTTTTGTGGACTTAAGGATTTTTAAAGATGATTTGTAAGTCCTTCGCTCTTAGATTTTTCTGTTAATTCTAGGAATCAGAAAACAATAGGACTGTTCTTAGAGTACCCCCACCCCATGAACAATTGCCTTGCTCCTTCATGTGTGTCTTTTTTGGGGGACTAGAGTATGTTTGGCTTCTAGAGTTTCCTTTCTTGTCCCTTTATGGAATTGACATTTTTGATACCTTAATTTCATCATTCCTTCTTGGAGGAAAAAAAGCTATAAATTTTCACTGCTTTTTTTATTTCGTATATCAGAATGAAGGGAAACTACCTCACAACAGCACCACTCATTCAGTTATCTGCCTAGCTGGTTAACTGGAGAGGATATAACATTTTTTTAGAATACCCACTTTTAAAAGTATCTAATTGTAGGGAGAGTTCATTACCTTTACTACTCTGGAATGGCTAGATGGTGGGGAAACCAGGATATGCATTTGAAAGGAAAAAATATATCAGCACTATGTAGCATTTCAGTTTCCCCAAGTGACAGGTTTTGACAAAGAAATGATACTATCTATGGCAACTTGACTGATTTTTTTTTTTTTTCTCAAAAGAGGGAAGAAATCTTTGACTAGTTAGACTTTTTAAAAAATTTTAATACAAAGATTGCTAATTCTCATTTGGATAAAGCCAGGACTTTCTGATAGAAAAGGGTAATGATAAGGGAGTGGAAGAATCTGTCTGTTTGACCCTAAAATGGGGTGGAATTTGCCTTCTTAGGAAGCTAATTATGGTGAGTTTTCATTTTATTATGATTACCTTTTTAAGGACTTAACAGTTTTCTGCACTAAAAATAGACCAAAGCCCAGAATCCTTGGAGCAGCAGAAGAGTAATGATCGTCTAAGACTGTCGCTGGGTTTCTTAAATTCTAATTTGTAAGATATAGGGGCTCGGCTCGCTCCTTTTGCGGAGTGATTGTAAGTAACGCTTGCCTTAAGAATCTCATTATTGGAACACGGAGCCATATTTCCTCTGAGAATTCTGGAGTAGCTTTGAGCCGGGGCTGTTCATTTCTCAAGTAATCACGCTGGTGTGATGGAGAGAGAAAATGGCAGCTGTTCGGAGCTCAGGCCTTCAATTTTCTTCAGAGTCCAGTCACTCAAGTGTGTAATTACACGGGGGTGCAGCCGAGGCGTTGGGCCCTGTCAGAGAACTGGTTTGAGGCTTTGCTTTCTGCTTTTGCCAGTCGGACAGGCAGAAGCCAATGGGACTCTGACTTGCTGCTGTTCTTTTTCTCCCCACCTTGTCATCCTGATTACTTCTTACCTGCATGGATAGTACCCAAACTTTCCAACAGACTGAGCACTTTGTTAGTGTTTGGGTTTGCAGGAATAAGATGGGGAGGAGAGGAACAAGAGGAGGAGGAGAAGGGGGAGGAGGAAGGTTGAAGATGTGAACCAGAAAGATGGATTTGTCCTTTTCTTTGTTTTGGCATTTCACATTTTTCTTTTAAAAAGAAAACAAAACTCGATAAACATAGGAGGATCTGTAGGCTTTCATATCATTAACTTGAAAATACCAGCTGTTTTCACCTCATTTTGAGATTTGGAAATCAAGACGTTAATTGATATGATTGAGCTGAGGGTCTGCTAGCAGTGACGTAAGGATCAGGGATGAAAGCTCAAAATGTGCTCCTTTCTGCTCTGATATTAATGAATGCCAAACATGGGCTTCCTCTCTCCTTCTGTGGCAACAGTCAGGTCCCCCACCCCACGTCTGCATTAATGGTGGTAGCTGGTCAAAGCCATGTTAGTTGTTTGGATTCCTCTTTCTGTAGGTCTGACTGTCTTTTACAGGTATCACCTGGACCTGGCAGCACTTGAATCCCCTAGTTTGTATTCTCAGCTGGTTTCACTTTCTTTGCTTACTTTAGCTTCCTGATTGATGGTTTTGTGCCCGGCATTCCAATCCCTGCTTTCTAGAAGTAGGAGTGTTGATGGTGTGCTTTGCTGAGCTAGATGATGATTTCTGGGGGTTTTGAATCTAGAGTGAAGGCTAGAAATCCGGGCTTCTGTGAATCAGTGTTACGGAACATGGGCTGCTTCAAGGAAGCCTTCATCCCTTCCAGGTATTCGCATAACTTGCCTAGTGATAACATGCCTCAAGGACTTACAAGCAAATTTCTTCTAATCTTTCACCCTATTGGAATAGCAAAATATCAAGTAAAATGCAAAAGTTCTGTCAAGTTTTCTCCATTTTGAGAAATTTTATGCCACAGTAGAAAAACTCTGGAAGACAAAACAGTAAGTTTATTATTTTGAAAGCTCTTCTTATTTATTTAATTTCCTAGGAAATAGCTTAGGACATTGTTTATGCTTACTAAGAGATATTTAGGAGGCTCTTCAGCCAACTTAAGCAATTTTGTACCAGTAAAATGTATCAACACCCTCATAGCTGTCTAGATAGCCAAGTAGTACATAGCGACTACTTGAGTAGTTATCCCTTCACTACTTATATATCTTATTTCTGATATGGTCCACATGAACATGATATAAACCATACTTCCTTGTGAGTAATGCCATGCCTGTGAGCCTGTTTGGTTTAGACAGGGATCATTGAAAATGCTGATCAGTGCCTTTTCTCCCTCCTCTTTACATGACTGCAAATAATTTTGTCCAATGTGTGGTAAAGAAAAATGTTTTTCTCAGCGAACCTGGTTTCCTGAATAAGCTGTGGCTGGTAGAACCTACCAGACCATTTCTGGTATTGGGATTAGTGGCTCACCCAGCTAAATGTAGTTAATGTCTTGAGCTCATTACACACTAGGTCCCATTCTTTTCATTTTGGATTGCCTTCAAATCTTAGGATGCTAAGATCAAGTTGGATTACCTTCTGCTCTTCTGGCAGTCAGCTGTATAACTTGGCTACGGTTTTTTAAAAAAAATATATTTTATTGATTTTTTACAGAGAAGAAGGGAGAGGGATAGAGAGTTAGAAACATCGATGAGAGAGATCGATCAGCTGCCTCCTGCACGCCCCCTACTGGGGATGTGCCCGCAACCAAGGTACATGCCCTTGACTGGAATTGAACCTGGGACCCTTGAGTCCGCAGGCCGACGCTCTATCCACTGAGCCAAACCGGTTCGGCTTGGCTACGGTTTTGATACTTAAGCATGTATGTTATATTCCCCATCATTTAGCCACCATCAGGGTTAAGAATAAAAACAAATACTGTGTGGTACCAATATTAACCATTACTGAATAATAATTTTCACTTGGGCCTGCAAACATATGCAAGCATCCTATCATCCCAAAAGCGGCAGGTAGGCTTATTAAATGAACTGCTTTATAATGAGAAAACATCTGTTGACATAGTTACCATTTCATGTCATTGTTGCAAAATGTTCACCAGGATTAGATGGTGATGTTGGGCTGTCCAGTTGCCCGAAGGAAGTCTGCCTTTTAGGCAAGAGGACCCTAAACTTGTTTTTGGATGTTTGTATCTTGGGATGGGTAGTTCTGATGAACAGAAAGGTTTTATCTGGTGGTTTTTGTTTGTTTCTTTAAGAACATTTACACTGTCTAGGTCAAGGATGAGATAGGGTTGCGAAGATTACTCTACACATAAGTTTCTATTGTCAATCTTTGTCTAAGTACTAATGATGACAATGGAGAAAATAATATTTGAATGGAAAATTTCCAAGTCAGGATAAACTAATGGAAATAGTGGTTTATGCCTACTGTGGAATAAACATCCCAGAAAGGTCTGATTTCTGTACTTTATCACAGAGCTCAGGAAGATTGTCATACATTTTCTAATCTTAACATATTTTCTAATCTATATTTTCTAACCTCCATAGTTCACTTTTCTTACAGATACTGTTTCTTTCTACCCCCTTTCGCACTCCCTTTCTCTCCTAGCAGAAAGATGGAATTTAAAAAGTTTTTTTTTAAAGTCGCTTTGCGTGTTTTGCTTTTTAACTTGGGACAGGATCTGTAGTTAAGCAAGACGGTAACTTTATTTTTACTTACTTATTTTAGTTTAATCTCAAAACGTAAACCTAGATTTTCCTTTAAGGAAATGGTTGGGTAGGTGGCTAGTGTTCTCATTTGTTATGTTGGCTTTTGTTGTTAATGTTGAGACTTCAGTCTGGCTATTTGCCGAGTAGCATTACCCAGGACATCTCTTAGGTTTTTAAATATTTCAGTGGGTCAGTGTGATGATTGAAGTAAGGACCTTGGAAAGGAATATGTTTTCTCTATTAGGAACAATGAGTAAAGAGGGATTTATGGAGGAAAATCTTATCTAGGTTTCCTTACCCACTGTTATCTATCTGTTCTTTTCCTTCTGTCTTTTTATGGTCTTTTCTTGGTTATTTTATATACAGGGTGGGGCAAAAGTAGGTTCTAAAACACAATTTATTGTATTTTTTAAATTCTTGTATTATTTTACATAGGAACAGCTGTAAACCTACTTTTGCCCCACTCTGTATTCCTTTGAAATTCTATTTTGCTTGTTAGCTCTCAATAAATGATGAGGTGCATTTTCTCCCTCCTCTTTGCATTTATGCCTTAGGATTGGTGGGATAGGTCCTCTGGTCTGTGACTGACTACATGCTCAGCCAAACCCTGGATTTATAGTCACTTAGCAGCTTGTCTTCTTCCCCCTCATATGAGTGAATTCCTGCGTTAAATAGGTGAAAACAACATGCACTTCCTTAACTATTAATTACATCATGTGTTTTATAACTCTGGACAGTTGGAGCAGAGCTCTGGTTGGTGGATTGGGGAACCAGAAAGTATTCCTGCTTTGAAATGTTTGAGAAGCCTTCTTTCCAGAACAGTGATGTTGAGCACTTCAAAACTGTGATGTGGAAAGTAGTAGGGGTTGTAGAAAAAGTATTGTAGGAAATTCACATCGGCTCCAAAAGCCAAAAGTCCCAAGCTTTTATTTATACAGCTGGGGTCATGGAATATAAAGACTCTCCCTAAGATGGGAAAGGTCTAAGTATGAATGGAGATTCTTCAAGAAAATGGCTGGTCATCAAGGTAAGGAGGAGATTAAAAAGCAGCAACAGGAAGCCTTTTAGGATCTGGTCATCTTTCATATCCTATTGATAGTAGGGGGAGAATAAAAATTCACTAAATATAAAGGCAATTATTTCAAATTCCAAGTAGAGGAAACTATACCTGAACGTGTATATTTTATGTGGTTTGGTATTAAGAACTACTACTACAAATAGCTCTGTAACTTTCAAAAAGACCTTTATAAAACCCGCACCTGCAGTTTTCAGCTTAGATGAAAATTACATGGATGAATTTAGGGAATAAACTGACATTCCACTGGAGAAGAAAATTTTTCTCAAAATATGTTATTTTTCTTAACAATGTTTAATTCTTAGGAGAGAAAGGACCCCGTGCTGAATAAACCATGGATTGTATTTATAGGAGCTGCTTTTTTTCTTCTAATCCATCTAAGGATTCACCATGTTTATATATTGTGGAATGATTCTTTTTTTTTTTTAATCTTTATTATTCAGATTATTACAGTTCCTCTTTTTCCCCCCCATAGCTCCCCTCCAACCGGTTCCCACCCCACCCTCTGCCCTTAGCGCGCCCCCCACCTTCTTCATCCATAGGTGTACGATTTTTGTCCAGTCTCTTCCCGCCAGTTCATTCTGTACATCAGGTTATTTATTCACTTGATTCTTAGATTCACTTGTTGATAGATGCATGTTTGTTGTTCATAATTTGTATCTTTACCTTTTTCTTCTTCCTCTTCTTAAAGAATACCTTTCAGCATTTCATATAATGCTGGTTTGGTGGTGATGAACTCCTTTAGCTTTTCCTTATCTGTGAAGCTCTTTATCTGACCTTCAATTCTGAATGATAGCTTTGCTGGATAAAGTATTCTTGGTTGTAGGTTCTTGGTATTCATCACTTTGAATATTTCTTGCCATTCCCTTCTGGCCTGCCAAGTTTCTGTTGAGAAATCAGCTGACAGTCGTATGGGTATTCCCTTGCTTGTAGGTAACTGTTTTTCTCTTGCTGCTTTTAAGATTCTCTCTTTGTCTTTTGCTCTTGGCATTTTAATTATGATGTGTCTTGGTGTGGTCCTCTTTGGATTCCTTTTGTTTGGTGTTCTTTGCGCTTCCTGTATAGCAAGAGGATAAATGATTTTTGGGTACAAAATTGTCAGAATATGAGATGGTGTTTTTATTTAGTGTGTGTTTATAAATGAATACTTTGTTCTTGTGTTTCTGTTTGGCACCCTCCTGGGATGCTGAACATTTGGTTTGTGGAATGAAAATCACCAAGAGTGGTTCCTTTTGCTTTACATTTTGCTTTTTTCCCCTAAAGAGGGAACAGGAACCCTTAGTCACTATATTATTTAAAACCTCTTAACACATCATTTGTTATTTCTTAACGCAGAATCCTTTGACCCTTTTTAATGATCTCTGATGATTTCTTCTGCATTTTAAAAGTATAGTGTTGGTTTATAAAGAAATACATTTGGAATTTTAAATCTGAATGACTAAAGGATTTAGGCTTCTTCCCCTAGCAGCAACATCTTCTGGGATCATCTTTACCACATTGCTTGAGACTAAAAACAAAAGAATACCGGAAAGTTTGCATTTTTTTATTAATCCAGCTATGTTGACTTTGTTTTTATTCCCTTTTCCCTATTTCAAAGTCTTGGCCACCTCAGTGTCTTCTCATGTGGATATGTATGTTCTTTTCCACATAAACAATTAGGATCAGTTGTGTGGCCGGGACCCTACGCTCACTGATGAGCTGCTGAATATCCTCACAGAGCTAACTCAACTCAGTAAGACCACCAATGCTAAAGTGGCTCTCCGAGCACGCCAGGTAAGGACACTTGTTGGTTATTGTGAGGGAGGAATGGTTTTCATAGATTGGGCAACGAGCTTTTACTTCATCAACTTACAAAATGCAGATGTCTATGTCCATTGCCCTCAGAACAAATGTTTTCATGTGATACATGTTTTTTAAAGAGAAAGGAGATTAATGGTGAGTATCTTTAAAATAGGAGCCCTTTCCCCATATAAAATCCTGTTATCGTTTCCTACCCTTCCTGCTTAGCCCTGTGATGGTAAATCAGGGTCATGTGGAGGAAGGCAATAGACTCAACATTTCTTACTTCTCAAAGGGAGCTTAGAAGCAGGTGAGAACTTTTAAGTGTATAGAAAAAGAAATCAAGTGTGGAAAGCAGAAAGATAATGAAATGAATCTTAGGTGCTAGCAATCAGAACAACCCCAGAGAAGTCCAGTTAGTTTCACCCTGTAGTCTTCATTTCCATTCCAAAAGGTTTCAGCAGGGAAGCCAAGAGTTGTCCGCTCCCTTTGTGTTTCAGTGCATGGTCACTGACAGGGAAGCAGCATTTGAAGCTGCTCAGTGACCTTCTGCTTTCTCTACAATTGTATCCATGTCACTGAACTACTCAAAGTCATTGAACCTCTCAGTGACCTGCTGAGAGTATTCAGGTCCTACCGTGTCCCTGTTTGTTTGTGACACAGCTTTCACTCTCTCTGCCCCTCACATGCATTGGTGTTACATCCCGATGCCTTTTCCTTGATACTGAGTACCTGGGGCTGTCAGACCAGTTTTTCCTAGTCTGTCTTTCTACTTCAGAGTTGCAAAAGGCTAGCCCTGCTGCATCCACCTTCCCCACAGCTGCTCCCTGCCAGACCTGATTCCCAATTAACAGCTAGTCAAGCAGTCCCGAGGACTAGCGGCTTTGCAATGGTAAATCACATGCACTGATGGAACTTGATTGAAGCTGTTTTCTCTCTCTCCCCCCTTCCCCCCATGGGAAATTGCCCACAACGCAAATCATGGTGAGAGTCAACTGAGATGCAGTATTTGGTGGCATTGGCTTTATGTTACAGGACCTAGAAGTTGTTTCACTTGGTCTCTGTTTTATCTTTGATGCCTGCACTTAGAGATTTATATTTATTGCTTTTGTATCAGAGCTGCCTAATAGGAGCCTAGAATAATCACTCCCTCAGGAATTTATGCCTCTTATTTTGCTCTCACTCTAGGTTCTTATTGCCTCCCATTTGCCATCATATGAGCTTCGCCATAACCAAGTAGAGTCTATCTTCCTATCAGCTATTGACATGTACGGACATCAGTTTTGCATTGAGAACCTGCAGGTATACTTATAGCCCTTTTCTACACCTCTCTGCACTTTTGTTCCCTTTACTCCAAGCATAGTTTAATTGAGTAATCAATCAATCAATTTTGATTTTTCATGCAAGGAAGTTTTATACCTTGACTTTCTAAAATGATTTATACTTATGAATTTTTTTCATTAAAAATACTGTTAGAATTGTGGCGTAACTTAAAAATCAAATAGACTTGCCTTGATAGAAGTGTCCTATTGAAGTCTACTACCTCTTGTGCTTTTATTTTATTTTCATGCTTACTGTTAAGCTTTATATAGAGCCAATTTTATAAAAAAAAGTACTGGCTAATTTTACTAGTTGCAAGGATCTTGACTGTTATTTTTTAAACAACATTTTTTTCAGGAATGACTTTTCATTTGTCTATCTGTACGTAAGGATAATATTGTTATATCTAGCCAAGGGAATCTTCAGGCTTTTTGTCAGATTTCCTTCTGGGGAACCTAGAGAGGGAAGAAGGATGTTTTTGTTTATTTGGTTCATAGTTGAAATAGAGGACTTCAGATGGAGTTCAAATCTATGGTTTACCATAGTGGAGTATTGAGACAATATTTAAGAAATTGAGTACAGATATATGTCAGAAAGGGTAATAATAGTCATAAACACTTATATTAGCATATAATTAATGCATTATTGATGCATTGTAAGAATTATTAACTCTTTGAATGTTCACAACAGCCTGTGAGCATAGGTACTATTATTTCCCCATTTTGTAGTTTGAGGAAGCTGTGATCACATGACATTCATAGACAAAAATCTTAAGTTTCACTAAAACGCTTCAAATGCTAAATATGTCCATTGAAATTGTTCTCTTTTGGTTGTAATGATTTAAGTTTGTCTTTGTACCTTCCAGAAACTCATCTTATCTGAAACATCTATTTTTGATGTCCTACCAAACTTCTTCTACCACAGCAACCAGGTGGTGCGGATGGCAGCTCTGGAGGTAAGTTTTTTTAGTAACATAACATGACATAACCTTTTTCTTGGTTTCTGGTTGAACTCTTCTATTTGGCTATCGTATCAGTTCTTTTTCTTTGGCCTAAGGTTAGTTCTTAAGAGTAGAGTCTTCGTTTCCCCTGAAACTAATGCTGAACTATGGTCTTCCTTGACCCAAGTGTTTCAGCTGAACTAATCACCAGCTTCTAGGCCCTAGTCACAGGAAAATAGCTGCCAGCATTTTTTATAGTTTCTACTTCTTAGATATATTTGATTCTCTCATGTCATAATGAATTAGGATTTCCTATAACACAATAAGTGAAAAAATGTATATGGTTGATCAAAACATGTACCATTTTGTGATTTAGGCCAAATAAAATGGATTTTAGTTATATCTTGAATTATCATGCAGCTCTTGTGAAGTATTTCATCATGAGAAAAAAAAGTAATAACATTTAATGAACTGTATTTTAGGTGCTTTATTTTTCTCACTTAGTCCTACAATTATTTCATGAAAAAGAAAGTGAGACTCTGAGAGGTTAAGTGACTTGTCTGAATGCACAGAGATAAGTAGAAGAGTGCATTTGAATCTGACTCACAGACTTTTCTGTTTCACTACAGCTCACTACCTCATTAAACATAAAAATCGCAGGCCCTGAATACTGCTGTAAAATTGCCAAGTGGGTGTTTTTTGAAGATGAGGAAAAGGGGTGTTTTAGATGATCTTATGTAATGTGACATCACTACCAGTCTGTTGCGAGCTCTTTTGAGTTACTCTATTGTATTCTGTGGGTAGCATGTAATGTATCCTACTCAGTAAATACCAAATCTTAAAAATATCTAAGTGTTTTATAGTACTTCCATGCCATTTAATGAGAAGCCTCCTTATATATCTCACATGCTGATAGAATTCTATGTAGCATTTCCTGTGCGTGGCAAATGGTCTGAAGTGCCCGAGGTTGGACTGATGGTTTTTGGCTGAGATGAAGCCTGTTGCTATTTCTCTTAACTCTTGAGTCAAGTAGTGTGTTTGAGATGTTATATATCAAATTATGCCTTATGCTTTTGCCTAGTGTTTGGGCGATATAAATAATCTAAAAATGATTTTTAAATGAAAACTGAACAAAATAATGTACAGGATAGTAAAAAGGTTGGACTATACTACAAGTTTTTCTATCTTCACTCCTCATGTGGCCCAGAATTAGCAACTCTCATTTTTCTCATGCTTGTGTTTATCTTCTGTTGAAATGATTATGCGTAATGAAGTAATAGTTGTGGTTGTATATGCTCTGGTTTGCTGAAGAGCAAACCTTCCCCTGACTTTAGGTTAATGTGAAAGGTTTATAGCACACCTAGAGGTATCCAGTAGAGTCAGGATAGTTTTGTTTCTATTTATAATCATGGGTGTAGTTTTAAGATTCCAGCTTTATTAGTTAAGGCAGGGTATTTTTATATGGAGCCTTGAGAATTCTGTCACCATAGACCACCTTCTGTCTCAGATACCTCTTTCAAGACTGTCTCTTTTCTGGGCTAACCATCTCTTACCTTCTGATTTTAAAGTGTATTTACTGAGGCTTACTTTTTAACCAGGTGTATGTTCGAAGGGCTTATATTGCCTATGAACTTAACAGCGTACAACACCGCCAGCTTAAGGATAACACCTGCGTGGTGGAATTCCAGTTCATGTTGCCCACATCTCATCCAAACAGGTGAGTTTGAGCTGTTATGTGCACCTGAGCCAGCCAGCACTCCATCAGGAGAGTTAAGGGGAGTAATGTGTATGACAATTCCATATTTTTTTAAAAAATATATTTTATTGATTTTTTATAGAGAGGAAGGGAGAGGGATAGAGAGTTAGAAACATCGATGAGAGAGAAACATCGATCAGCTGCCTCCTGCACGCCTCCTACTGGGGATGTGCCCGCAACCAAGGTACATGCCCTTGACTGGAATTGAACCTGGGACCCTTGAGTCCGCAGGCTGACGCTCTATCCAATGAGCCAAACCGGTTAGGGCAATTCCATATTTTTAAAAGCTAGAAATACAGAGCAGAAAATGAACAAATTTAAACCAGGAGATGAGAGCCTCTTCTGCCCACTTTTTTTTTTTTCTCACCTTTGACTTAGATAATGTATAGTCTAATTAAGATAAAAGTTTAGGATAACTTCATTCATTTTTGCTTATATTGTGTCACTGAGGAAAGAATTTCCTAGCAGTTAACTTGCTGGAACTTTGCCAGAAAATCACTTTTTTAGCAGTTTAAGTGAACACTTGGAACATGAAAATATCTTGGGTGGAATGCTTTTCTTTTCAATAGTTTGCTATGGGCTAAGGTGATACCTAAGCCAATTTCATGATCTCCCTAAAAACAGACACCTGAATTCATAGCAATTGACATGCAATCAGTTTTTAAAAATCACACTCCAGAAGCAAGCTGAAATTCAAGTAAATTACTTAACAAGTCATGCTAATTCCATGATATCCCCTTCCTAAGCCCTTAAAAAAATTAAATGTACATATGGAAATTTGTTTCAGTATTGCTTTGGTTTTAAAGTGAAAACACTTTATCTTGTATGCTCATTTATTTTTAAACTATTCTGAGGCACAGAAAACCTAGGAATTCCACCCACACATATGTTCATCCCTTTTTGTATTTTCATTCTTTTTAGTAATACCACAGGAAATATAAATATACCACAGCAATCTTAAGCTGCTCCCCTCCATTTCTTCTTTATAGCCTTTGGTTCTTCACTTTATATTACAAAGTGCTGTGTCTTTGGGGATCCTTAGTTATACACACCAGAAATAGCTTTGTTCTGAATTGCCACTTCACCCAAAGCAGTAGAAACCCTTCCTAGAGACAAAGGAGTCTGTGCTGAGACTTTTGGCCACTGGATGCCACTGTCGATCCAGCAGAGGTCAGCAGATGAGCAGAGAGGCATCTTCAGAAAAAGTACTTCTCTTCTTTGTCTCAGAAGATCCTTTTACTTTTCTACCTCAAAAATACCTTATGGCTGGCAGAGAAAAGTATATGTCCTTGATTTTGCAAGCACCTCTAGGTACATTTTTGCCTCCATGGGTTTCAGAATCTCATTTTCTAGAAACAAATGGTTGTCCTTCAGCGAGCGGCGAAGTACTCATGGCACACATGGGCTCAGCTCTCAGTCGTCTTTCTTTTCCTGCATTCCTTGAATAATTGTGGAGAACTACAAGCTGTACTTAATGCTCTTTGCAATTCTCAGGACATTCTCCTTTTCTTCCTGCTTTCTACACCTCTTCCCTTTGGGCAGTGATTTGTAGTCAGGCTGCAGAGCTGCTTGTGATTTCCTTCTCTCCTCATCGCTCCCCTTGTCTTTCTGAATTGCTCTCCCTGTCCTACTTTTTTATTTGCGGATGTGTGTCCAGTTTGGTGAGGGATAGTCGACTGGAAAAAGAGAGAAATGCTTCTTAACTGTTAAGAAATCTTATTCACCTTTCTGTCTTGAGGGTGTGAATCTTGATTATTTCTGATATGGTTTCAAAACTTGTATACTTGTCCCTCCCAACATCTCAGGTATACACCCCCCCCCCCCC